AGTTAAGGAAGCATACGTCATGGCTTGTTGAGGAGCACTATTACTCTGGATATTTGAATAGGCTTTTTACTTTTTATGACAATATTGGAATGTTTGTAAAAATATGTGAATTGCTGCCAGTATGTTGAACAAAAATTTCAGTGGACGATTGTGAGTGTGAAATTGCTATTATACAACAGTTCAATAAACAAGTAGTTAGAATGGTGAGTAGCTGCATTTTAAACACCGTATTGGCAGATCCAAAATAGTTTTGGGTTGTGCGTACTTTAAAGTTTTAAATGAACTTCGCTCAAATTAGCGAAATTACTTGAATTAAGTTAATTTTGCTGAAAGAGATTCAATGAACCAGGTCAGAAAAAAGTTATGACTTTTAAAACATTGTGTGTTTCAGTGTTGGTGTTTGTTCCTCAATGAATCAATGTGTTTGAACAAATCATTTGAGTGAATGATTCAGTGACTTGCTCATAACGAAAGTCACTTGTTTCATTCCTAAATGAATCAACGTGTTTTAACAAATCAGTTGAATGCTTAAAGGATTAGTTCACTTCCAAATTAAAATTTCCTGATAATTTACTCAGCCTCATGTCATCCAAGATATTCATGTCTTTCTTTCTTCAGTCATAAAGAAATTAAGGTTTTTGAGGAAAACATTCCAGGATTTTTTCCATATAATGGACTTCAATGGTGGCCAACGGGCTGAAAGTCCAAAGGCAGGTTCAATGCAGCTTCAAAGACCTCTACACGATCCCAAGCTGAGGAATAGGGCTCTTATCTAGCTGAATGATCTGTCATTTTCTTACAAAAAAAATAAAAATGTATATACTTTTTAACCACAAATGCTCGTCTTGCACTAGCTCGACTTTACGCATTACATAGTCAAATTGGAAAGGTCACGCATGATGTAGGCGGAAGTACCGACCCAGTGTTTATAAAGCGAACGTGCAAAGAAAGTCAAACGCCCTTTACAAAAAAAAAGGTAAAACAACAATGTTGGATGATTTTGAAGTAGGTTAAAAAGTATATAAATATTTTTTTTTTTTTTTACGAAAACGACATTTCACTACATTAGACCCCTATTCCTCGGCTGGGATCATGTAGAGCTCTTTGAAGCTGCATTGAAACAGCAATTTGACCTTCAGCCCGTTGGCCACCAAGTCCATTGTATGAAGAAAAAACCTGGAATGTTTTCCTAAAAAAACTTAATTTCTTTGCGACTGAAGACAGAAAGGCATGAACATCTTGGATGGCATGATGGTGAGTAAATTATAAGGAATTTTTTATTCTGGAAGTGAACTAATCCTTTCATGACTCAATCAAAAGAAGACATTCACTTTTTGCCACCTACTGGTGTAACAATGTAACATGCACAATGAGTCACTGAAAAATATATAATATGCTTATGTTTGCTTATGTTTGTTTATATAATAATGTGTGCGTGTGTGTGTGTGTATTATAATTTCACCAATTTACTTTTACTACTGCTTATAATATAATATAATAACATGTAAAGCCACTGATGCCTGTACAAACAAGGACTCTTTGCTCTTTGTCAGACTAACCTTGGCAGTATTCTTACAGGTAGAAGCACGATTTTGATGACATTGTCATCGGAGAAGCCTTTTTGTCTTGTACAGCTGTACATTTAGCTACAAAGTCATGAAGTATTCCTTCCAGATCGCATTACACTGTGGTGTCCCATCTTTTTTCAGCACTCTCGCCCACCATTTCTCCATTTTTCCAATGAGATTTGAACTAGCTCTGCATTTATCGCTCTGGACACAGGCAGCATAGTCATGATAATTCTCATCCCATTTCATAATGTCTGCTATGCAATCTCTTCATCTGCCGCCAGTGGAAAGGGGGAAGCACATTATCTATGGCAGAGTATTATAAGAGATTATCCCTGACAGATCTTTTCCCTCGCAGGCACCATTAACCAGGCTTCGGCCCACTTGATATTTCTACCACCTGTGACCGTCATCCGCTGGGCACAAGAATTATTGCCATTGTATTTTTCCCCGCTCTATAAATTAATCATGTAAGGAACTACTCTGAATCTGGTTGGATAGTGACCAAGAAACTCCCTCCCTCCTTCCCCAAAGATGCCAGAGACACCATTCATCATTAAAACGCGGCATGCCATTTGACACATAGATAACTGTCACGTTTGCCCCGGTATGGTTTGATGCATATTAGCATGCCATAGACAGAAACAGGAGGCTTTTTCCTGACTTTGAAATGTGCAAGAGGCCCGCATGGACAACAAAAAGCGAGTTGACCTCTCTCTGAAGTGATTGGGGACTGCTGACGAGACTGAAACATAAATTAGCATTGATCATTTTTGCTCAACATGCCACATTAATGACTTGAGCCTTACAGGGCTTGTTAGACATCCTGTGGAAATAGATTATAATGGTCTTACTAGCTGTCCCAAAAGTCCACCAACTCGATTGTTTTACAAATGGCACATGGTTCTCAGTACATCCAAGGACAACATTTTTAGAGTCATTAATGTTGTATTCCCCCAGGGATCTTTTTTCTTCTTTTTTTTTTTTTTTTACGTAAGGAAGTGTATTAATGCTGGTGGATATTCAACCATTTTTTAGAGTGTCTTAAAATATGTGTCATTTATATATAAACTTTTACCCTCTTTTTAAATTCTGATAAAGCAGAGCAGCATGTATATCAGTTATCTAATACAAGCGTATTAAACACACCTAAAAGGATGACGGTGCGGGGAAGTAGGATTGAATTAATTGATCTGAAGAAGTATGAAAACAGGTAGCATGGAGGGAATCAAATGTGCAGGTCAAATTAAGTTCTTCCCCCATCGCGCAGGTATAGTTTCATCCTCCGTTTCACATACTCAACGGTTATAGATCACCCTCATGCATCTCATAAGGAAAGACATCAAACAAATATCCGGCTATTGACCTGTCCTCCCAGACTTGATTGAGACTCATAGCGGGCTGCAGGAGCAGAATGACAAACAAAGGAGGCAGGAGGTTAAAAAAATGGAAACCAAATCGATAGAGATGACTGAAATGACGAAGGACTTGAAGGTCAGAGCTTGTGGTCCCTTAGAGTAGATAATACAGGAACATAATCAATCTCGTCTAATTTAATCTCTCCCCTCCATCTCAGACCTGATCTGCACTCATTTTTTTCCCTTCCATGATAAAGTTTTTTCATTTTCTGCTCAATGATTGAGCTGCTCTCTGATATTGCAATGGTGGATCAAAGAAGTTAGTTGAATTGGCTAAAAAAAATACTGACACATGAAGACCATACTGCCGTTTCATATGTTGATTATTCAATACAATAATGATGCTTTGAAAGGATATTCAGTGCAGTACTTGATGGTTCAGAACTATACCGAAACTTCAAAATTGTCCTGACACTTCTAAATTCTAAATTCTGATGCTTCAAAGCAATTTTGTTTCAAAACAGATTTGATGCTTCAAATCAATTCCAATAGCTCAAAGTGACAGTGATAATTCAAAACAGATCTGATGTTTCCAAAATAGTGATGTTTCAAAAATGTTGATGCTTTAAAGCAGTTCTGATGATTCAAAATATTTCTGAATAAACAATGTTGATGTTTCCAATACAGTGTTGATGCTTCAAAGCAATACTGCTTTGAAAAAGATTTAATGCTTCAAAGAAATATTGACAATTCAAAACAGTGATAATTCAAAATAGATCTGATACCAAAATAGATTGCTTCAAAGCAATTGTGGTGGCTCCAAAACAATAGTGATGCGTCAAAACAGATCTGAAGCTTCAAAAAATACTGATGTTTCAAACAGATTTGATGCTTTAAAACAATGTTGGCATTTCAAAACAACATTGATGCTTCAGTACAAATTTGATCCTTCAAATGTACTGAAATTTTAAAATGATACTGACAAATATAAAAAGTACTGATGCTTCAAAGCAATATTATTTCAAAAAGACTACTTCAAAGAAATAATAATATTTAAAAACAAATTTGATGCTTTAAAACAGGCTTGATGCTTCAAAGCAATTCTGATGATTCAAAACAATTCTGACTAAACAATATTGATGCTTCAAGGTTTGGTGTTGTGTTCACAGAAAATGAAGAAATGTCTGAATGTTAAACATGTTATGTATCACGGTGACTTTCAAGGCTTATTCGAAATGTGATGTCCCTAGTGTTCCTATATCGCTCAAAACCCACCAGCTGTTCTGCACTCAGAAATGTCAAGAATATTACGCTCATTTGCTAGACATTTGTTATAGTTTGACACTTAAACCGCACGGCCCACCAGGGTCCATATTTGTAAAAGCCAAAGCGGCGGCTTTGACCCTCATAAATTAAAGTGTGTATTCGGCAGCTCTGATGTGCTTTAAAGAGTATTGAATTCCTGTGAGGTGGATGAATTGCACGCCGCCATCTCGAAAAGGGGGAGGGCTGACACTGTATAGCTTACTCCTCTATCATATTCACTACCCTTTCCAAGTGTATCACCTCCCCCATCGAATCATAATCCTGTTCCTGAGATACGCCGGGCTGAAAATGAAATATGTTTGCAGGTTTGTAAATGTATCACACGCTTTTTTCCCAGTGTAAGTGTGTAGAACCAATACTTTTAGTACAATCCAAACATTGCCTTTGGCAGCTGAATATGTGTCAAAGTTTTGCTGCCGTAAGCCACTGAGGATTTTTTCATTTCTCTCTTAGGCCCTCGCTTTCCCCAAGTCTGTCTATCTCTCTCTGTCTCTCTCTCTCTCTCCGATTCCCTCGACTCCTGAGAAATATATTGAGGGTATGCTTTGTATCCACACTGCAGTTGATCAGCTGAGAACAGGCCCATAGGCACGGAATCCTGTCTGTCCTTATTTGGATGAATTCATTATTAATATTTCACTGGTTTATCTGAAGTTACAGCTCCTCTTGCTTGTGTTGTATTGTTTTTTAATCATTTTTTGTCTCTCTCTCTTTCTCCCTCTCTCTCTGTCCCTTGCTCATTTCGCAGCGAACAAAGCTGACTTTATATAGGAAGAACACGACTTGCTCCTCTTGCAGTTGAATGGAAATAAAAGAGACTCTGTGACCTTGGAAGATGAAGATGTTGTTGCCATGGGAACTCTTAATCCTGCTGTCACTCAAGAGCTGCCTAGCAGGTACGATATCCTCCGACTTGTCTTTGATAGCTCACCTGTTCTGCATAGTCCCCACTTCAGCAGAGAGAGTGGCTTTTCATTCCTTTCTCTAATCATTTTCTCATTCCTCTAGAGACAGATGCATGCTGGGAACAAGCTCTCCTGGTTGCCCCAGCAGGACATTTGTCTTGACACAGTTTCTGATTTTTCTCTTCAGCAAGAACTTCACCCAACTTACTTTGGCATGCTTTGCTTGTTCATAACAGACCAGCATTGGAAACTTTATTCATGTTTATAGCTTTGAAGAATGTTATAAAGCAGTTTAGTTTTCATTTTATATGGGGTATTGAGTGGCAACCCAACATTATTATTTTATTTTTTTTTTTAACTTTTTATTTTATTATTTCATACAAAATGCTGTTAAAATCAGACATTTTTATCTTATTAATATTGCATTAATTAATATTTTTTTTAACTTGTTTTACAGTATATAAAATGCTTAAAATTTAAGAAGCAGCATTGCATAAGAATTTTCACTTTCATAGATTGCACCTTGAATATAAATGTATTTTTAACTTACTTATGCTTAAAACAAGTGGAAAAATCTGCCAGAGCAATAAGATAAAAAGAAAATATACTCTTATTAAAGATACATTCTCTAAAAAAAGTCTTAATTTTTCATGCAATGTTGTCTTTCAGATAAATACATTTATTTTAAATAAATTTACAGTCAATTTTACATTTATTTTAAATAAATTTAAATATATTTTTTATTTAATCTGAAAAATTAAACAAAAATTATTGTAAGAATATAGGATTTTGTTTGCAGTGTTTTAAGTTGTTTTATCATTATTATTATTATTATTAAAGTGAATAATGTATGTACATAAATATTTGTATTATTTTTAAGCCTGTTTATTTTACTATGTACAGTATATTGCAGTGTTTTATTTTTAATTTTATTATTTGCATGTAGCATTGTTTTTTTATTCCCCACAATTAGAACAATCCTGTGACCCACCACTTTGAGTTGAAGACCAATGTTTTACAGAGTATTAAAAGTTATTGGCATAACTTTAGAAATGCACTAAAACTTTCCATGTTCATAATCAGACCCTGTCAGCAGTGAAGTGTTTCAAAAATCTTTAAAATTTCCCATAAAAAAGTGCTTATTCTCCAATGATTCATGCAACTCTCAGCACATACTGCAGCGCTGTAAGGAAGAGGCCGTCTGAAGAGGCAGGTGCCCTATTTAAATGAACCAGTGTCCCCCACTCAGTGCCAGTGCTCGAGTTATTGCCGTTGTTGTGCTACAGTAACTATGCCAACTCAAATGGGCATTTAATAATGTATGTATATAAATATTTGTATTATTTTTAAGCCTGTTTATTTTACTATATACAGTATATTGCAGTGTTTTATTTTTAATTTTATTATTTGCATGTAGCATTGTTTTTTTATTCCCCACAATTAGAACAATCCTGTGACCAGAGCATGTGAGCGAAGCGGAGCGGTGTGACGCTCCGCTACGTTTTCCGCTCTATGGACGTGCGCTCCACTCAGTCGCTCTAACCGCCCAAGCAAACGCTCCGTTAATATTCCGCTCACGCTCACCGTACACC